TTTGATACTTCAGCATATTGTAAGTTGTACATGTGGAGACTGAATGACAGAACGAGCACAGGGTTCTACTTATACTTGTGAATGCTTCAATAACATAATTGTTCAAGCAGTGCAAGACACAATAATTGGCTGAAACACTGAATGGCAGCATGGATACATAGACAACATCATGAATAAAGCACAATCCTGGATAAACTACACCTTTCTGGTACCACGTTCACATCGTGTGGTACAGGTAGTAGAGACGATAAAGACTCGCATGTTTACGACCTGTGAACATTCACACCAAAATACTGTGTATTGACAATATAACACCACATCCATAAAATGTTTACACAGTTTATCTTTGTCAGATTTGAGAAGTCCATATAACACACAATGGTTTTTTTAGGCATCTCTCTGTAAATTAGATCCAAAGTTGGACGTATCAAAGCTTAACGTCAGAAACAGTTTCTCTCTTGTACTTATGGCTCAGATATTCATCATGATTTTTTTTACCTAATTAATCATCTTTACTGTAAAATGTGAGAAAATGCTGAAAACAATCTGGTACAATAAAAACTGGAGAACTACAGTACTTCACTGATACTTCACCTAAATGGAACTGGTCCATTATTAACAACTGGCAAACACGTATCCAGTGAGCGAGAGGTTGTCTCTCTCTGGCTTCATCCACATGACTGCATATTTAGTTTTAAAACACATGACTGCTGCTGCAATTAGTTTTCTTAAGCACCTAAAAAAGAGAAGTTGAGAAACACTTCTGGACACGTTTTAGTCTGAAAACTCCTGGGGTGCTGCAGAGTAGACGATCTACTTCCTGTTTACACCGGCACGCACCTGCCCAGTGTACGTGAGTGGTCCAGTGATATGCATATTCAGGTACATTAGTGTGAATAGGGATTATTACTGATATGGAGCTAAATCGCCCGTGTGGACGGAGATCGTTTTGGCTTCAAACGTTGATTTAAAATGAAAACGTGTCAGTGTTGATGTAGGTCCCTCAAATCTGTGATGAGACAAAAAGGATGAAGCCTGCATTACATTGCTGACGGTAGTCAGACCTGTGTTTTCACACATTGTATAACACTGAATTGTTGAATATGACAACTTTTTAAGTTGTGAGCCCTGAATCTTTGTTTTACTTCTCCAGGTTATTATGGAGCCTGATTATTTTCTGAGACTTCAGTAACACAACACAGGACCAGCTTGTCTGTGATTAAACGTCATATAGAGACAGGTAGGCAGTCTTTGTCAAGTTTATTGTCCAAGTGAATGGGGGTGGTTTTCGATGTGGACGCCCAGCAGACATACACTGGCTGATGGTGGAAATGGTTGCCACTGGCGTACGTCAGTTTGTCTTTGCTCTTGGTCTTACTGTGAGTTCTGTCCTGAGACAAGCCAAAGTTCCTCTTTTGGATGCGGCCCCGTTCCTGGAGCTGAATGTGGATGGGGATTGGGGCTTGATGGCCCGCACTGTTGTGGACCCCCACTCGGTTCCCCCCGAGCTTAGGGCAGAGTGAGAGGAGCAGACAGCGCAGCTCCCGCTGAAAGGTCTTGTTGAAGTAGAAGTAGATGAAGGGGTTGTAGATGTGGGAGCTTTTGGCGAAGAGGGCCGGGAAAACGAAACCCTCAGGAGCCATGTACCTGTGGTCCTTGTGGAAAATGAAGAGGAAGGACACAATGGCGTACGGAGCCCAGGCGATTACAAAACCCAGGCTGATGCAGAAAAACATCTGGAAGAGGAAGCAACAGATAACAGAAAGTTACTCGACTGGAAACACTCAGTGAATCATTGTTCATGGTGTTACAAGGATTGTCACGTACAACAGTGTCCTGGGAGACTTGTTCCTTTAGAAAAACTGAAGCAATCATCAAGCTGTCAATCTGTTCCTGACAATTCATCTCTGCAAGTCACATGAATAATGACTGGACTCCAGACAAATGACATCTGTGGTCACACGGTCAACGTACAGAAAAGCAGAAACAACACGGCAGTTATTGATAATGCAACACTACATCAATGCTGAGTGAATAATGCAGTGATTTGTCAAACGGATGACGCAGAAAAAATCTAAAATATTCCGCAAATACGTCATAATGAAAACACAGAAACAGACACGTACATGCACAGCAACAGATCGAATGAAGGATATTCTGCAGAGTGACACTGACATGTGGTTCATTCGAGTCTCGTCAAAGTAAAAACTCCAACCACGTCTCCTGTCCAATAGTGTTTCAGCTCCATTGCCGACTCAAGCCACAACCATCGTCAGTGCAAGTCTCGAACCTGGTACCAATTAATTTAGGACAAGTTCGGTACCACATCACGTGGGCTCGAGTTGATTCTCAGGTTCTCATACTTGTGGCATAAATCTGACTTGATACCAATGTGTCTCAGGTTTACAGGCCTGACCGATGCACACCAACATAAACTACAATGCACATAAGTGACGTTCTTTCCACCACGCCACATCACTGACCATGGAGAGCCGTTTTTCAGTTTGCCGCAGGTTGTTGCGGATGCCTCTGGCAGACAGCGAGTAGGCGAAGCTGGACACCTTGTAGAGGATCTGACACTGGGACACCACGATGAGGACCACAGGGACCAGCGTGAAGCAGGCGAAGGAGCAGATGACGTAGAAGGCGTCCTTTGCCGAGGTGTGATAACCCCTCCAGGCAATGGTGCAGGACAGTCCATAAGGCTCGGGAACGTACTCGCCCCAGCCAAAGAGGGGGAAGCTGGACCACACGGTGGCGACCACCCAGATGGCACAGCACGCTATGCGGATGCTAGTTCCTTCCAACCACACGGCTGTAAAGATGAACGAAACGTATTTATTCAGACTGTATATTTCATATGCTATAAGGAATAGCAAACGTAAAAGAGGAAGCACAGGGATACAAATGATGAATAACTA